TCAATGTCTTGATTCAAGAATTCAGGTTAATCAGAGGATTATAGATGCAGGTAGTCCTTGACTTACAACAATTCATTTAGTGACCATTCAAACAATTCATTTTGTGACCATTCAACGGCACTGCAAAAAGTGACATGACTGTTTTTCACACTGACAACCATTGCAGCATCCCTGTGGGTCGTCAGAATTTGGCTGCTTGGCAAGTGACTCATATTTATGATGGCTGCCCTGTCCTGGGGTCATGTCATCACCTTTTGTGACCTTCTGAGAAGCAAAATCAATGAAAACCAGAATCACCTAAAAGCCATGTTACTAACTTAACAACTTCAGTGATTCACTTACCAACTGTTCCAAAACAGGTCATAAAATGGGACAAATTCACTTAACAACTGCCTCGCTTTGCAACAGAAATTGGGGGCTCAGTTGTGGTTGTAGGTTGAGAATTACCTTTACTCCTCAATTTATGATTGCAATGGATCACCAAAAACCTACATAGGGCCCAGATCTTCCCCCTTCTCCCCCCCCCCCGGCATGGTCACATGACCGCATTTTGGGCACTCAGGAGCTTGTCCATATTTATGGTTGTTTGCAGTCTCCCATGGTCACATGACTGAGATTTATAATGTTTTTGCCCCAAACTGGCATTTACTATACTTGTCGTTTCTAGCAAAAAACCACCCTACACTGAACAATGGATTCGCTTAATGACTGATGCATTTGCTTAACAGCCACTGCAAAAAAGATCATAAAATTGAGTCTGGTCACCCTGGTGATCCACTTTACAACTGTCATGATTTATGATCTAAATTATGGGCTTAATTCCAGTTGTAATTCAAGGACTACTTGTATACCTTCCACATATCAAATGCATTGTATATTTTGATACATAGGATTGTTCAGTAAATGTTGTCATTTTATACAATTAAATTGCTCTATAAGGGCTTGAATGTGAATAATATATTATAGTATGGTAAAAGTGTGCAGAACATCACTGTAAACTAAATACTGAACTTAATCCAGAGCTGAGTAACATCTGTGTCCTTTTTCAAAAGTGTTAAAAATACTGTATAATGCTGATTGTAAATCTTCAGATGTACAATGAGTGATAATGGAAGCAAATATGAAGCATTACAACAGGACAGAAGTAAAAAGAAATACTGCTTAGTATGAATTATCTCCGCATTCTAGATCTTTCTATTACATGTTTCAATAAATGAAATACAAAACACAAATATTGAAGCTAAATAGTCAGGTTTCCAAAATTATCTTGGTCCATTAAAAAGTGTTCACAGAAGTAATGAAATAATTTCATAATTATAAACTGCTAGTACTCATGTGCAGAATAGCTAGATCTTTTGCTACCTATTTTCCTTTATCATCCAGTCCAATGAAACGATGTGTATTTCAAAAACTGGCATCTTCATGCTTTGTAGTTTTATGTATTCATAATAAGTCACTCTTTCACTGACATTGTGACCTTTATATTTTGTAACCATCTATAAATAATGTGTGTGTGTGTGTGTGTTCACTTACTAGTGACAAGGTGATCCTTCCTAGGAAGGAAAAGTAAAATAGCACATCTTCTTTGTTTACATCAGCCCCCTTGAACAGTGGATCAGAGAATTTTCTCCTTTGGCCATTTGTGATTTAAAAATTTCCTTCTTGTCACCTTCGAGAGGAAAGAACATGACTACACCTGCCTGAAGCTGACATACCTAACAATTTGATTCATCTTTGGGTTTGGGAGGGGCTGGACTAGAAGACCTCCAAGGTCCCTTCTAGCTCTATTCTGATTGGATTGGACTGGAAAGGGTCCTTCTTGAGAGAGGCTTATACATGCATGCACATATCCTATATTCAGTGATATAAGTTATTATGCCCATCATAACTGATTGGAGCAGCTTAGGAACCTCATGAATAAATAAGTTCATGAAGTTGTGAGTGCAATCAGGGAATTGAGACCACACAGAATTGTTATGTAAATGTGTAGCGGATGTATGTAGTACTCATGACAAGGACAAGAAATGTAAAAGACTGTTGACTCAAGAGAACAGAGGAAATGGCCTAGGATTTCAAGCCTGGGATGAGATATGTACAGTGAAATCACAGCTTAATGGGCCTTTGATCTGATGCAATGGACATTTTTTTCATTCAGTTGCCACCCCGTTTAACGTCCATTAAATGAATATCTGTCTGTTAAATAGAGGTCTTCCAGGAAATGATTGTTGACAACAACTATGTAATAATGCAAGTGGCATAAATTAATGCAATAAAGTACAACCATAATTTATGGTCATTCAGATTTAATGGACATCCTACCCCCTTTAATGGGTTGTTAAATTGATGTATACGCACATATGTATCTCTCTGTTTGATATTAAATCCTGGATTTTGTAACAGGCAGATCTGCTTTTATAGTTCTTTGTAATAAAAAGATATTATCTAGCAATGTTGAGTCTGTGAAGCTTCGGCTGTTGGTTACTAACTGAATATGGAAGTGATTCTCTGGAGAGTAAAAATATTCAAGATTGTTGTGGTTTGTGTGAAGTCTGATAAACAGAATCAGAACTTCTGTAACTATCTACTTGAAAAGCTCTGCTTAAAGGTGTACTGTCCTCTGTCTTTGATGATGGTAGATTTATATCTGAGAACATTCTGTAAATATAACTTCAATTTCTGGGTGCCAAAATGATAAAATGAGTCCCCAATACATAGTCATTTTTAGGTTATCATACCAACCGCCTAGTGAATCTCTGTGCAGTTTACAATTAGAGATAAAATCAAAATGCCTGAAATATTAAAACAATTAAACTCACCAGGTGAAAAGCTCTTTTAGCAGGTTCTTTACATGGCTTTTTTAAAAAGGAAAATAAAAAGATTAGGCTACCAGCTTATCATTACAAAGAATTAGAGCTCCCACAGAAAAAAACACTTCATTATGAGATGCTATGGGATACACCATGGCAATTGTAGACAAATCTTTTCAGATGATCTCAAATTGGAAGGGAATGTCTTATGGACCCCATACGTTCTCTCAGGTGGTCTGGACCCAAGCCACACAGAAGTTTAAAGCTCTTTGGTTTTTACCTGGATATTGTCCATTGTAATGCTTTTTTTTTTTACAAAGGCATAAATATGTTCTCCTCAGTTCTATACTAAATATAGGATTAGAACCAAGGGGAGCCCCACATAGGTCAAATTATAATAGCCAAGTCTGGATATAAGATTCTACTCAGCAATGTAAAGTAATTCGTACGGCATTTTTTATTTATCAAACTTGTATGCTAGCCAGTTCTCGAAAGGCGACTCGGATACATGTATTTCAAGGTCCTTACATTGCTTCGCTCCTTCAAACTCTTAAGTAATTTAGAGCAGAGAATCAGTAATAAAATAATCAAAAATATCAATACTTGTGGTGTATATAGCATAAACTATACTAGATAGTATTATACTAGATAGTATAAACCATCTGTCAAACAATCAGTAAATTGCATCAGTACTCATAGTTCCCTTATACATGTTATTATTAGATTCAAACTTAACTCCATCATCCTGAAGATACTTGGAAAAGCCAAGTTTTTAACAGCTTGCTAAAAATCAAGACTGAAGAATACAGATCTTATTTCTGGTGGTGGGGCATTCTATAAAAGGGAAGCTTCTGCAGAAAGCACTTGTCTCTAAATTTCCATCCTGCCTCAGCAAGTACTCTTCTGCAGGCACACAGGGGATGGACGGACAGAGTTTTGGAAGGAAATGGCCTTGTATATATAATCAGGCTGCAGACCACAAGCCACTGTCCCCAGCAAGAGACACATGTCAGGACTATTATCATGTAGGTTTTCCATTTGGTAAGTCCTAACTAGAGGTCAAGATGGTAACATCTTTCTCTCCCTCTTTTTTGATCCATTCATTCCCATATATATCATGGAAGGATCCCCCTATATAATGTAGTCTCTTTACCAATAATTTATTTCCAAAACTTATAAAGTAGACAAAGTTCAATTTGATGAAGTAGGCTTAATCACTCTAGTTAGGAATCTGTTTACAAATATAATGTAAGCCATTGCCCTGAAAATAAAGTCTTCCTTTGGAGCTTTCCAACTTTTAGGATTTTGTAGCAGTTCCCGTCCCTCCCATTGTGAAGCAGTGTAGAATCATCTAAAAAGGCAACTTTTTTATTTAAAAAAATCTATTTTAATTAGGGAACAAACTTTTTTTAAAAAAATTGTCTTAGTGAATATAAATGAGTTAAATCTATGGCACCAACAATATGGCTTCTAAAAAGTTTGAAGAAAGAAGGAATACATCACTGATATATTATTTTTAAAATTAGCAATCCAGCTTTATAGGAACGCATTTGCATTTTGATCTGACTGTTGTTCACCCAAGAGCTGCTGCAATCTACAAATAATAATTCTTGCAATGCATGTGTTACAATGTACAGGTAGTCCTCGACTTATAACCAAAATTGAGCCCCAGATTTTATGTTGCTAAGTGAGACATTTGTTAAAAGTGGGTTTTGCCCCATTTTACAACTTTTCTTGCCACAGTTGTTAAATGAATCACTGCGATTGTTAAGTGAATCTGGCTTCCCTATTGACCTTGCTTGTTAGAAGGTCATGAAAAGTGATCATCTGACCCATAGGACACAGCAACCATCATACATATGAGTCAATTGCCACCTATTTGAATTTTTATCAAGTGACCATGGGGATACTGCAACGGTCATAAGTGTAAAAATGGTCATAAGTCACTTTTTTCAGTGCTGTTGTAAGTTCGAACAGTCACTAAATGAACTGGTGTAAGTCGAAGACTATCTGTTAGAGTGGTTATACATGTAACATATATGTTTGCTTTGTACCCCACCTTTCTATTTGTATAGGAGCTCAAGGTGGCAAAACAACAACAACCAAAACAAAATGCAAAACATAAAAGATGACCATAAAAATCCATTAAAATCAATAACAGTATATTGACATTGACCCTTCTTCTGTCCACAGTCTCTGTGCTGTGAAATCAAGCAGAGGCGTCGAGGGGTAGGCTCAGTGTTACGTTTGTGCCAACACCTCCTTGATGATCAGGATACCTGTAATCTGAATGCGGACCATCAGTCAATGCAGCTGATAATTGTAAATCTTGAAAGAAGGTGGGAAGCTATCATCATGCAAGCAGTCCAGTGGCAAACTAGATTGCAGAAGAAGTTGGCAAAGCATCCAGTAAGTGATACCCGTCTGACTTACCCCCTTCCCTTCCCATTCATTCCCATTGGACTTACTGTTCCATTGTCTCAACCATTATTATTATTATTATTATTATTATTATTATTATTGTTGTTGTTGCTGTTATTCACAAAAATGATAGTATACACAGCAAACGAAATAACCATGCTGGATTTCATATCACAAATCACTAGTTGAACACTTCCCAAGTGTTTACGACTGCGTGATGTATCGGCAGATTATGCAAGCAGATCCCAGTAAGGTGGCCTTCTGCAGCTGACCAATGGTGGTCTTGTCAGCGCCAATTGTTTTTAAGTGCTTGCCTAAGTCTTTAGGCATAGCACCCAGTGTGCCGATTACCACTGGAACCAGTCTCTGCAGTTCGATTCTCAAGTCCTGATATTTGGTGACTTTTTCAAGTTGTTTCTTGTCGATTCTGCTGTCACCAGGTATTATTATTATTGTTGTTGTTATCGTTATTGTTGTTATTGTTATTATTGTTATTGTTATTATCATCATCATTATCATTATCATTATTATTATTATATAGTCAGGTACCATAGGAGCCAAATAATTTGCTTTTGGATTTTTTTCTCATTGTAATTTCTACATGGATGGAATCAACTGATTAATGGGTTGAACAGAATTTATTTAAGAGAATACAATTCTGTATTTTACATTGTGTAATGTCTATACTGAATGAAATGATTTCTGGAAAACAAAACCTAATAGTAGATAAATAACCTCAATCTTCCTTAAGATTCAGTCCAAACTTTTTTCTTTCTTTTTTTTACAAATCAAGTGTAGACATTTTTTTAGAATAGAATAGAATAGAATAGAATAGAATAGAATTCTTTATTGGCCAAGTGTGATTGGACATGCAAGGAATTTGTCTTTGGTGCATATACTCTCATTGTACGTAAGAAAAAATAAAATACATTCATCAAGAATCATAAGATACAACGTTTAATGATAGTCATAGGTTACTCATAAGCAATCAAATCATACTAGGAAACAAATAAAACAATATAAATTAACATATGGGATTGCCCTTTTAGGATAATCTTCAATTAGTGTTGTGATAGGGAATGAGGCAGAGGCATTATGATATTGTACAAGTCTATGGAACTGGTTTTTGCGAATAGAATAGAATAGAATAGAATAGAATAGAATAGAATAGAATAGAATAGAATACTTTATTGGCCAAGTGTGATTGGACACACAAGGAATTTGTCTTGGTGTAAATACTCTCAGTATACATAAAGAAAAGGTACATTCATTAAGAATCAAGAATCATAACGTACAACACTTAATGATAGTAATAGGGTACAATCAACAATCAAATCATACTAGGAAACAGTCAATATAAATCTTAAGGATACAAGCAACAAAGTTACAGTCCTACAATCACAAGTGGGAGGGGATGGGTGATAAGGAGTGATGAGAAGATTAACAGTAATAGTAATGTACACTTTGTAAATAGTTGAACAGTGTTGAGGGAATTATTTGTTTAGCAAAGTGATGGCTTTCAGGAAAAAAACTGTTCTTGTGTCTAGTTGTTCTGGTGTGCAGTGCTCTACAGCGTCGTTTTGAGGGAAGGAGTTGAAACAGTTTATGTCCGGGATGTGAGGGGTCTGTAAATATTTTCACAGCCCTCTTTTTGACTTGTGCAGTATAAAGGTCCTCAATTGAAGGCAGGTGGGTAGTAATCGTTTTTGCTGCAGTCCTAATTATCCTCTGAAGTCTGTGTCTGTCCTGTTGGGTTGCAGAACCAAACCAGACAGTTATAGAGGTGCAGATGATAGACTCAATAATTCCTCTGTAGAACTGTATTAGCAGCTCCTTGGGCAATTTGAGTTTTCTGAGTTGGCGCAGAAGGAACATTCTTTGTTGTGCTTTTTTGATGATGTTTTTGATGTTAGGTGTCCATTTTAGGTCATGTGATATAGTAGAACCTAGAAATTTGAAGGTCTCTACTGTTGATACTGTGTTGTCTAGTATTGTAAGAGGTGGTAGTATGGGAGGGTTTCTTCTAAAGTCTACCACCATTTCTATGGCTTTGAGTGTGTTCGGTTCCAGATTGTTCGTTACACCACGAAGCAAGTTGTATAACCTCCTGTCTGTATCCAGGTTCATTGTTGTCTCGAATGAGACAAATCACTGTTGTGTCATCAGCAAACTTCAGTATTTTAACAAATGGATCATTTGAGATGCAGTCATTGTTGCAGTTTTAGGTATGTATCATTTACCTGCCAATGACCACTAGTTCATATCTAAATATTTCATGGGTTTTTTTTCTGCTATAGCAGCATTGCCAAATTAATCACTAATAAAATCACAGAACAAGGGAAATGTGAGGTCATAAATGTTGTGTTTGAATTTGAATTATTATATAGTTCTTAACTTATGACTGATTGTTTAACAATAGTTCGAAGTTACTATGAACTATCCCTAGAGTTACTTATGACCTGTTTTCAGAGTTACAAAGCTGCACACACACCCCATAGTCATATGATCACATTTTGGGCACTTGGCAATTAGCTCACTTTTACTGCCATTTGCAGCATCCCACAGTCAGATAACCATGATTTTTGCCGATTTCCAGCATTTGCCTCCAGTTTCCAGCAAAAACATCCTTGAGGAAAATGCATCTGGTTTACCACCAGATGATTGCTTAATGACCATTGTAATAAAAAAAAAAGTTGTACCTTCAATTCTTGTCATGTGATGCTTCATATTATGACCACAACAATTAATGAGTGAAATTACAGGCCCAATTGTCATCATAAATCAAGTATTACCTGTATTAGAATTGTTTTACATCTAATCTGTTCCAAACTACTGTACTGCAGAAAAGTCATATCATCCTTGGCAAATATTAGTAATGCCCTCCATTTTTTTTAGCTGTTGATTGACAGGGTCCGTTTGGCTTAATAATTTCAGGTTTTTCACCAGTATTCCTAAGGCAACTCGAAACATAAAGACCAGAACTTAAGAAAAGCACTGCTGGATCAGGCCAAAATCCATCTTTGTCCAGCATTTTGTTTCTCAGAGTGGGCAATGAGATGTTTTTCTAGCCTCAACCACCTTTGTTCTCCTGCCATTAATTTGGAAGCCAGGTGTGTTCAAGCCATTGATAGACTATAAATATATTCAATCACTATATAAAGCTTTTTAAAACCCTGCTTTAAAATTTAAAGCTAATTCAATGGTGGCAGTGAATTCCACAGGTTAATTATGCACTGTGGAAGAAATGTTTTGTGAAGAAGCAGACATACAGTATGGTTGATGTCTTTGTAAAATCCACCTTTGCCCCCAACAGTTGTTTGATTTTGCACGAACAGCACACTGGAAGTATGGCAACTCCACTAACCCTACAGCAAACCATTTCTGTCTCACTCCCTATGTTCTCATACAGAGTAGCTGGTGAACATATGACATATGGCCGGGAGCAGAGAGGGTGATTTTTTTCCCCTCTTGTTTCACTTAAAATACCTGCAATCAACAGTGAGCTGTTCTTTTGCGTTGTGCTTCTATTTCAATTTCACCTTCTAGAAGGTCCTGTTCTGTTCTGCCTCAAGCAGAGGCAAGGAGCAGCCAGGAGAAAACCTGGTGGGCTGCTGAACACACAAGAGTGCTGCTGTTGGGAACCAGTTTTCTCTTTTCCAGGCAGGCAACTGCTTGGAGGTACTGCAGTACCTCTAAATAAGTGGATATGTGTTAATTAAAGGTGAATGCTGCTTCTGCAGCAGGAGTGAAGTAGTCTTGTGATTTTATTTGTATAGGAATTGATGGGGAGGTGAGGTAGAATGAGTGTACAAGCACTATGTTTTTTTTTTGTCTCAGGACTGGACAGAACTTCCCAAGCTCCACACTGCTTTGTTCTCATTTTGCCTGGGAAAACCTGGCCTTGTTTGTTGGACTGAATTATCTTTTACCTAGTAGGGAACACAACTTGTTTCCTGCCAAGATACAGCAGCTATTAAATTTTTTTTTTCTAGGTTTGATTTAGAGCACAGATGATATTTTTGTTTTGTGGAGACTTGTAGCTGCAAACATATGCACCATATAAAAAGGTGGGCCTTCGTATGTAAGTATTTTTCCAGTGATGAAAGAGTTCTTAGAATCCAAATGTTCTGGTTGGAATTGAATTTTGTTAGCTTCTGCTGCATTCGCTGTCTCCCAATTCCAAGCTGGCATTTTACAGCATTTCCTTTCATTCAGTTCCTGTGTAGTCATTTCTTGGGTTGATCCCAAAATTGTTTTCTCTGCCTTGTCTATTTCCTTGAGCTGATGTTGTGCCAGTCTTGGCAAATGAATAGTTTCCCTGGGAAACTGTGTGTGTATGTGTGTTTTAATTGAGGTTGTCCAAAATATACTGTAATATATAAAACAAAGAGGATGTGTTTGCATCTCTGATGGCATCTTACTTGGTATTATTAAGAGTCACTGATATGGAAAAAGATTACTTGGATCAATACATCATGCAATATGAAAGGTCAGGAGCTATTTCCATCCTTTCTTTAAAGTGCTGTTCTAACATTTTCTTTTCTCCATTTTTTTTACTAATGGTATCTAGTGGCATTCTATTATTACTGCTCAAAGATTTAATCAAGTGTTTAATTTCTCTATTTAATTTCAGTATTATTTCTTTCTTCTTTTCTTCCTCCTCTGCTCCCAAAGGAAGAAAGCATAAGTAAAGGGACTCCAGGTTGGGACTATTAGCTGGCTGTCCAAAATTCCATTTTGGGATGAAAAACACCGGGTGATCGAAAGACATGTTAGGGAATTGTTATTTTCTTTTCCCTGTGAATCCTGAATTTGCTTAACACAACCAGTATTTTCATATTTTCTAGAAAGAAGGACTTTATACTTCAGTTTAACTTCCCCAAATTTGCATTAATGCATGACCCTTCTATTCCCCTCTTTTGAATGTGCAACTGTTTTAAAAATAATACACACACAGACATCATGGCTGCCATTTTTGTAATGGTGTA